CCTAGCGTGACCTCAGCGAGGTCACAAGCAAATGGTTTCACATGGGCTGTGATTTGCTGACCCAAGACACTTCAATAACGAAATATAGGAACAATCACGCCCGATTTAGCTGAAAAACAACTACTTTTCGATTCTCCCATTGACTTATAATGGGGAGCAGCGATGACCTGACCTGACCTTAGGTCAAATTTATAAAAAATCCGAGATAGCCATTTTGTAGAGCTGGGTGACATCTTCAACTACTGTAAATTTTACATCGATCGGATAAAAGCTGTGCCTTTGAGAGAGCTTTGAACTTTTTTAGAGGTGGTGTCAGTTTTGGTGACCTTGTGACCTGACCTGACCTGACCCGAACCCCCCAAAAAAGGACATGATGTAAAAATGTTGAATAAACAGCTATACAAAGTTTCAGGGCGCTAACTCAAGTGGTTTCTGAGTTATCGCTGAAAAACCACAGGGGGGGCCAAAATGGCCCCCCCCCACCAGGGCGAAGGTTAACAGTTTTTCTCATAACACAAAATATGAAGCAATTTCAGGAAAAATAACCCGCGCCGGGCCGGTGCTCCGAGATTCCGTGCCGGGCCGGGGGGTCTGAACCCCCCCTTCTAACTCGGCTCCTGGGCCACGTAGCGACACGCGGTAAGCGACATTCGAAAGAGCGTCCGAAATAAGGACGAAAACACTTCGGTCATTTTTTGGGTCAGGTCAAAGGTCAGGTCGCCAGAGGTCACCAAAGGTAAAATGTTGACTATTTCAACATTTTGGAAACTGCCAACGGCTATCTCGGGAACCGATAGAGCTACAGCGCCGCGGAAAAGCGCATTCGATAGCACTTTTACAGACCTTTATAAGCGATGTTCTCAGATTTGACTTCAGGTCAACGGTTTAGCCTCCAGAGGGCAAAAACTCCAAAAATAGCCGTTTTTACGAAAAGGGTTTTTTTTTCGGCAATAACTTTTGACTCAAAAGAGCCATGACATTACTTTTGCCAGCATCGTGTTCCTCTTGTCGAGACGCGTCGAATGAATTATAATTTAACCTTGAAAAGTCAACTTGAAAATTTGACCTTAGGTCAAGGTCATGGCCTGACCGGAAAAGGTCATGTTGCATATCAGTCGATCCGCAACGTCGAGCCGAACACATCTAAGGCATTTTCAGCGCTCTAGCACGCCTCTTCAGAAGTTATTAGCGAAAAACTGTTAGATTCTGTTCTTGACCTGAGATGACCTCGGGGACATAAAAAGGGGTCACAGTTGCCATTTTCCGGTTCAGTGTGTCGATTTTACCTACATCTCGAATCTCGATGCTTGAGATTGTCTAGAATAGCGTTCGTGCAAAAAAGATGCTTTTCAATTTTCTCCCATTGACTTAGGGGAAAGTGGGGTAAGACGGTCAGAGTAGGTAAGACGGGCACCCCTTCTGCAGACCAAACCAATAGCGCTACGAGCGAGAAAATTTAGGACCAGAATTGCCTTTCCCACTACACACCACCATTGAAGTCTGGTGAATTCGTGTTCAGTCAATAATCTTTTATTTTGATTTCTTTAAAAAACCTCATTTCATTGAAAACATCCATAATGTATTGCGCAAGGTTTTGTGTGCGGCACTATAGAGTTAAAAACTCGCAATCACTTGTGGTACAACACACATATGCCACCAGTGTTCATTTATCGCGGATTTGCTTTGCCTGCATCAAATTGTCCACAGAGAAAAATCGTGCTGAACTTCTGACATTGAGTTTGGGGTAAGATGGGCAACTATGGATCCAATGGGTCTGTAATGGTGAAAATCTTTTGTTGCTGTAGGAAAAAAGAAGCATTTCTGTTAAGAATATGTTTGATTTTGATACTCACAGACATGTTAGCAATATTCCTTCGGCACAGTTTATTCTCGAATAATGAATGTGAAAATCGGCTCTACAAGGTTTCTGAACTAGGGTCTATATACGAGCATACGCCTTCTGCACGAATCTCGTATACTGCCTTTTCCGAAGCACTTGAGACCAATGAGCGACTGTATCAATGCGGCTAATATCGGGCATTTGTTGCGAACTGCGCTGGTCGGTGAAAGAAGCTGGCCGTCTTGCCCTACCCATGTGACCGTCTTACCCCATAGGGTGGGGTAAGACGGGTTTTTGCAAGGTTTTGCAAAAATAGGTGTAGTTTTTTTTGTTGAATCAGCTCTAAGTCTAATCTTCTGGCAAATGGGAGTAAAATGTCTAAAAAAGGTTTTCACTCAGTTTCCCGTTTCTATGATGTTTCTAACCGGCTGAAAAATGGCTCCAAAGTTAAGGCGCCCGTCTTACCCTACTTTCCCCTATAATGGAGAGGCCGCAAAATTGGCCTGACCTTAGGTCACCGATATCAAAATTCCGAGATAAACATTTTATTGATTATGATGCTCTAATCAATCGCTGAAAGTTTCAAGGCAATCGACCAATCGGTGTAGCTATGACGAACATTCTCATTTTTCTGAGGTGAGGTCACTTGGCGTGACCTGGTGACCTGACCTAAGGCGACCTGGGTCTGAAATTTTCACATGTGCGGAAAAGATGCACGAACAGTTGTGCCAAAAACGGCGGCGCGGAGCGCCGCCGTTTTTTAGATATCTGCGAAAAACCGCAGGGGAGTGTTTAAACACCCCCCGCCCCCCGGCCCGGCGCGGGTTAATACTTTTCCTTTTTCGACTACGCCATTCTCGAGATCCAGTGCCGCAACTACATACGTGTCGACGCGACAGTGCACTATGGTTGGAAACGGCCTCACGGATGGCCGGGGGTCAACGCGAAAAAATGTTTTGCCCATAACTTGTTAATGCGTAGACCGACTGCGCTGAAACTTTGCATAGGTATGCCAGTGTCTTTCGTGCATCATACAGTAACTCAGAAATGACGAGGTCACGTCACGTTACGCGTGTGTGACGTCATCATTTCAAGTATGTTATAAGTCGCCTATGTCTTTCGTAATGTTATCGATATCGCGAGGCATTTTGAGCATGTTTTGAATACTGCTATTACTGAATGGATATTGTTGTTATGCTTTAGGGCGAGAAATATCAACGTAGCGACGCACAGTGTCTTACTATTGGTCATAAAGGGTCAAAAATTTGGAGAGAGAGTATTTATGATTTATTTTTAGATTGGGCAAAAAAGTAAGAAATAAGATGACGATCAAATGACAAAACATGCGTCAGATTAACCCGGCAGTTGCTGGGGTATTTCCCCACCCGCCGTTTGCCGGGGGGGGGGGCGTTCAACGGCCCCAGCCGATAACTCGCGAACAAATTGGCGCAGCGAAACGCACGAGGCGGCAAACCATAGAAGAACGCGACGAGACGATTCACATGAATACTTTAAAGTTGAATTTCAAGGTCACAGGTCGGGTCAAGATCAGGTCAAACACTTGAAATCGGGCTTTCAGTAGCATGGACTTTAGAACCTCGCAACCGGTGCCTCGCGTTTCGCGTTTCGATTATATCGTCATCAGTTGGTCCTAAATAAATTCAGTCATCAGTTGGTCCTAAACAATCTGTCACAACTGTCACAACTGCCACAACCCTTCATATAAGTGCTAAAAGAGTGTCAGATCAATGTAGGGGTCAGTCAAACATAGGCCACTGGCCAGGGTCAAAGTCAGGTCAATCAGGTAAGCACATAACCCCGAAAATTAAAACTGGTACCTATTCGCAACCCATGACACATGTTTTATGGGTACTTTTGGGCGTCGAACACGATGGTGACATTCATTTTATCATACGAGTACGTGGTTGGCTGAAAAAAAGATCAATTTCAGAAATGCATGCATCATGGTCGTGAAGTAGTCACGAGAAATTGCCAACATTCAGTTCAAGATATTGGAAAATGTAGAACGATTATCAAAAACCATAGATAGCCATTTAATTTGCCATGGTATTGGCAGTGTACTGGCGTTTACAGCATGTCTGTATGTCTGTTCTGTCAGTGGATATCCATATCCATACTCCAGGATATCCATACGCGTTTGCACGATATCCATACTCCAGGTGCAGGGGCGAGCAGTTACTTCTTACGAGGGGTGCGGAGTCGAAGTCAGAGTCGGAGTCAGAGTCGGAGTCGCAGTCGGAGTCGCCCAGAGTCGTGGCAACGAGCCAGGAGTCGGAGTCGGAGTCGGGGTCGGTCAGGAGCCCGCAGTGGAAGTCGGAATCGGTCCGAATCGGAACAGCTCCATCACGACTCCGAAACACTGGCAGGGGTCCGGAGTCGGAAACAGAGTCGGCCGGAGTCATGGCAACGAGTCAGGAGTCGGAGTCGTAGTCGGAGTCGGATTTGGCGCCACCACGACTCCGCAACCCTGCTTCTTACCATCATTTATTAGGATAAGCGATTGCACGACTGACGAGCCGACCTAGTGCTAACGAAGCGACGGGTAGGTACGCCTCGGGAGATGAAGCTTTACGGACGATTTTGCGCACAAGTGCGCAGTCTGCTTTTACGTTCCCCTTACGCAGAATTGAACAGAGATTTATTCTGCCAAAAATATCAATGGAGGTCGATGGAGAACTTTTTGTATGTCCAATGAAACATAAACGTAATTTTGCAAATGTTGCTGTGGTGACACTGCAAACAGAATGCAATGCCGTTCCTGATTTTGAACACGCATGGGAAACAGAGTCACTCCACTCGATAGCCAACATAACAAGGATTGTTTTGATATATAATAATCCAGTTTTACACGTCATGGAGGTACTCCACATGCTATCACCAGCGCGGTTGTTTAAACCTTTGACGGCGCACCAAAAAAGCCACTATCAGAAACTCCCGATTCCACGTACGATAATGGAGACTAAATGCGCAACTAAATATTTTTTTCTGCCCAATTCAAAACATTTCATCAATTTCCAACAGAATGACACCCCAAATATACATATATTCCGAAATTGCCCACGGCCATCCGTGAGGCCGTTTCCAACCATAGTGCAGTGCTAGAAACTCACTCCACCAGCACCCTATCGACCCTTCTCACCAGTGATGTCCAGTCTCTTCAGCGACTTGGGCAGCAGGCGCAGCCACTTGCCGGAGCTGTCCACAGGTGGGCTCACATCGAGCCGCTCCAGAGCCTTCAGCGGCTCCAGCAGCGCCTCCAGCTGCCAGTCGTTGATACCGGCCGGCAGCGTCAGCTCACGCAGACTGGAGGCGTTGGCACGCGCCAGCCGGCGCAGGGCAGAGACCCGCAGCTTGAAGCCGCGCAGGTTGGCCTTCTCCAGGGCGTGGCAGGTGGCTGCTGGAGTAAAGCAACACCAGTCAGTGAAGAAGTGATCACTTATATACACAAGGGATGACAATTGACAGTTACAGCGGGACAAAGCGTACCAGTTCGTGTGTAGCGCGTTTCACACAGGACTCACCGACCAGTCGGAGGTCGGTGTCCGTCTCAGCGGTCGGCGCCCGCAGTTCGGTCAGTTTCGGCTGGTCCTGCACCTTCAATACAAGCTCCAGGCTCGTGGCCGGCGCCGTGACTTTTCCACCGCGGGTTTTCTGATCGGTTAGCTCCCGCCGACAGTCGCCGACGATATCGTCGATGGCGGCCCGCCACCGACGGCAGACTATTGGCACCGAAGGAACAGGGGGGGGGGGGGATCGGGCGGCATGTCAGCGACAAACATCAAAGTCAAAGTTCAAATACAGGCAGCGTTTAAAGTTATATAAAATATAACATCGATATTCCATATAATGGCAACCGGAATTCACATAGCTACAAGCCATTCATTGGCGTTTATAGGTATATCCACTCAGACTTTCCCAGTGCTGAACTCTCAGTTGGCTAAGGAAACACACCACATTGACTCGGATAATAGTTATTGAGATACACGACCTCGCTAGTCGCCAGGGCACTCACCCCGCCTGGCGCGGAACATATCCCTACAGTCCATCTTGCTCATCACCATCTTCAGCAGCTCGGTGTCCAGGTGGTAGATGTTGGCCTCGCGAGCCGCAGGCGGCCTACGCTTACCGGACGCCGGCCCCATCTCTTCCGTAGTTGGGGTGACGTCACAACTGGTGGTGGCGTCACACTTGTCACAGGTGTCGGCCTTCAGTGAGACCACCTCTTCGCCGTCACTGTGGTGAAATGACGTCAGAGTGACGTAGTATGACGTCATCTAAGGTCAGTCATAAGGCGATAATTTCTAGATGTCTTCATTTTACCGAAACAGCACCGTACCATGGGCCCACGTAGGTAAGCCCATCCAGTGTTTTACAGACAAACTGTATACACAACCGGGTTGGTTCTTACAGACAAAATGCCCACACAACCAGGTTGACTCTTACAAACTGTCTACACAACCGGGTTGACTATTACCGACAAAGTGTCTACACCAAGTGTCATCCCTTGCAGCCAAAGGCGGCTGCCTCTAATGTTTCCCTTCTTTGCCCCCCCCCCCCCCCCCCCAGTGCCACCCCTGCTGCCTCTCAGTCTCACATCTGCGAACGGTCGGATGGCGCCGCTCGCCGGCGGACCTCCTGCCGCAGCTCCTCCACGACGACCTGGCGAGTGGTGCGCTCCTCGAGGACAGCCTGTCGCAGGCGGGTCACCTCTTCACGTAGATGGACCACCTCCTGACGCAGTGTGGCGTTGTCTCCCTTCAGTGCGGCGTTGTCTCCCTTCAGTGTGGTTACTTCTCCCTTCAGTGTGGCGTTGTCTCCCTTCAGTACGGCGTTGTCTCCCTTCAGTGTGGCCACTTCTCCCTTCAAACCAGCTATCTCTTCACGAAGAGCAGCCAGCTCTCCGCACAGATCTTCTAAGTCCATCTGGAACACAAATGATAAGTAGGTACAGTCCACAGCAGAAGTAATGTGGGGTTTCAGTCATGGGTATGTTCTGCTTCTGAAGCTTAGGAACGATTTACCAGACTACAATAAAACTTTGAATGTAGATTATATGTATTGTCACCCTTGCAGCTGCAACTTTAGCTACTGACATCTTCTTTTCGATCACTCCGCATTAACCCGGCAGTTGCTGGGGTATTTCACCACCCACCGTTTGCTGGGGGGGGGGCGTTAAACGCCCCCAGCCGATAACTCGAGAACCAATAGGCGCAGCGAAACGCACGAGGCGGCAAACGAAAGAACGCGACGAGACACTTCAGATGAGTACTTTAAAGTTGAATTTTGAGGTCACAGTTCGGGTCAAGGTCAGGTCAAACACCTGAAATCGGGCTTTCAGTAGCATGAACTTCAGGACTTCGCAATGGGCGCCTCTCGTCATAAACTCTGTCAAAACGGTGCACAATCCATCATATAAGGCCTACAAGAGTGTCTGCTCCATGTAGGGGTCAGTCAAGCATAGGTCAGGCCTCAGGGTCAAGGTCAGGTCAACCGGGTAGGCAAATATCCCCGAAAATCAAAACTGATATTCGCAGCATGTGACACATGTTTTAACCCGGCAGGCGGTGGGCCTACCAGCCACCTTCCGCGCGGTGGGGGGGCACTTTTTTGCCCCCCCCCCCGTATCTCCGAAACTACTGGACGGATCCGGAAAATTCAAACGGCGTTTGATAGCCCTGCCAAATTTGTCGAGGGAAACCAAATTTCATTGACCTCGGGGTCACCGATGACGTCACAGGTCAGGTCAAAGATAAAATGTTTCACTGTTCACGGGGCTTCTAGGGAGAGCGCTATAACACCGAGTAAAACGCATTTTGTCGAAAATCAGCAATAAGGCGTCAGTTGTCTAGTACCTATGTTGCTATTAGAGGTCACTGGTCATACCAGGTCAGGTCACAGGTCAGGTCACCAAAGGTCACCAAGGGTCACCACATGAGCCCAACTTTACTAAGGTTATGCGATGCATGTTTTATGGCCAGTTTTTCATTTCCAACTCAATGGTGTTGGTTATAAGACCATCAGGTACGGTTTAGGTCACTTTCTGGTGGAGGTCAGGTCAAGGTCAGGTCAAAAAAGGTCAAATTTCAAAGTTGATATTTTTGCATAAAATGGGTATCGATTCGATGCAGCTCGTCGCGGGGAGTCTAATGGTGGTCTTTGTTTTGCGCTACGAGGTCTAGAATTGCTAAAAATTGAGTTTGAAAATTTGACGTCATCAATTTTGAACAGTTTTTTCGCTATAACTTCGCCAAAAAAAGAGGTATCGATCTCAAATTTGGTATGTAGATAGAAGGCGGTAGGGGCTATCACATATATTCCGGTTTTTTCGAAATTCAAAAAACTTTTTGGATTTTTTGGCTATTATATTCAAAAAATATATTTTTTGATTTTTGGGGGTCAAAATCCAGAAAATTCGAAAAACCGAAATAGCAGTTTTGTAGCCCTTTTCATTCCACACCTTTTATGTCTGAAACATTTTTCTGTATCTCTAAAGCTGTAGGCCTGACAGCTCTTCCCGCGAAACCTGTTTTTGGGTCGAAAATGGCAAAAATGACGTCACTCTGACGTCATTAGCGGCCAACCTATCATAGCCTTTGGAAAAAATTTTTGGTCACCATGTGCGCTAGCTGCTCCCGGGAGGGTACTGAAAGTTTGGTGACGATCGGCGCAGCGGTTCTCGAGATATATCAAAAAAACTAAAGGGGGGGCAAAAAATTGCCCCCCCCCCACCGCCTGGAAGGTTAAGGGTAATTTGGGGCGTAGAACACGATTGTGACATTCATTTTATCATATGTGTACGTGTTTGGCTCAAAAAGTTCAATTTAAGAAATGCATGTATCATGGTCGTGAAGTAGTCACGTGAAATTGCCAAGATTCAGTTCAAGATTTTGGAAAATGCGGAACGATAATCAATAATCGAAGATAGCCATTTGATTGTTCATGGTATTGGCAGTCTAATGGCGTTTACGGCATGTCTGTATGTCTATTCTGTGATTTTATATCATTTTTTGAGCATATGCCGTTTTTGGTCGAAAACTCAAAAATCATGACGTCACTAAAACCTCGATATCTCAAAAATTTTCCGACCGATTTTTTTTTTGAAACTTTGTCAAAATACACTTCAATTAATTCCCTACAGGTACGCAAAATTTGGCGCGCCTGCGGCGCGCCGTTTTTATGCTATGGCCCGGCAAAAAAAGTGGGGGCGTTTAACCCGCGCCCTGCTGGGGGGGGGGGTGGGTGTTTGAACGATTCCAGGACAAAAAGTCAAAAGACAAAATGTCAAAAGACAAAAAGTCAAATGCAAAAAGTCAAAATGGACAAAAGTCAAATGGAAAAAAGTCAAATGGATAAAAGTCAAAACGGATAAAAGTCAAAAGACAAAAAGTCAAATGGCAAAAAGTCAAAACGTCCAAAAGTCAAAAATGCAAAAAGTGAAATGGCAAAAAGTCAAAATGGCGAAAAGTCAAAAACGCAAAAAGTCAAAAGCAAAAAGTCAAATGGCGAAAAGTCAAAATGGCAAAAAGTCAAAAACGCAAAAAGTCAAAAGCAAAAAGTCAAATGGCAAAAAGTCAAAATGGCGAAAATCAAAAACGAAAAAAGTCAAAAGCAAAAAAGTCAAATGGCAAAAAGTCAAAATGGCGAAAAGTCAAAAACGCAAAAAGTCAAATGGCAAAAAAGTCAAAATGTCAAATGGCAAAAAGTCAAAACGTTCAAAAGTCAAAAATGCAAAAAGTCAAAAAGACAAAAAGTGAAAAAACGGCAAAAAAGTCAAAATGATAAAAATCAAATGGAAAAAGTCAAATAATCGGTCCAGCCGTTGTGCGGTTATTGAGGATAATAGTTTTCGGGTGTGTAAAGTACCCCAAGCTTAGCACGCGTCACGTGCCAAGATCGACACTCAGACAACATGGTGTCCATGCCATACAACTTTTACATCCAAGTGGTATTCAGCAAAGAAGACCGCTTGTCGATGCGGCATGCGGTTCTTCAGTTATAAGGGTTTGAAGAGCGTGATGGGGTCGTGTCGGGTCGGGTCGTGTCGGGCCGGGTCGCGCATACTCAGATTTTTGCCTTAAACACGAAAGAACACGCACGCTCGCTGCGCTCGCTCGCTCGTAATTAACCCTATGGCGTTGCATGGAAAGAAATGAGTTCAAACTGCCTCGAGCTCCTCCAAAATTGAGAAAGTTCCAGCGCCAGTGCTCCCACATGTAATAATAACCTGTGAATCATTTTCATTTTATTACTTAATGGATTCGTTCATTAGAATATGTTCATTTCTTTTAACCAAATTTCTATAGGTAAACCCAGCGCGTTGGATGCTGGACCAGTCAGCGATGACCGTACAGAGACCAGAGAGCGTGAGTGGACGGAGGGGACCGCGTCCAGTCTATCGGGCACGTTTAAACTTTCAGATAAAACTTTGCCATAGCACTGGAATTGCACGATGGGGCAGTGGTGACCCGGGAACGTTTGAAAAGTTGATGGGGTAGGTTGAAAGTTGAGGGGACAAAAATTGCAACTCAAAATTTTGAAATTATCTTGTCTTTTGTATTTTTTACTTTAAGTCCATTAACCCGCGCCCGGCTGGGGGTCCTGGATTTCCACGCCCTGCTGGGGGGGGGTGTTTGAACACCCCCCCCTTCTAACTCGGCTCCTGGGCCACGTAGCGATACGCGGAAGGCGGCGTTCGAAAGAGCGTCAAAAATAATGAGGAAATCACTTCGGTCAATTTTTTGGTCAGGTCAAAGGTCAGGTCACCAGAGGTCATTGAAGGCAAATTTTCGCCGATTTCCAGGTCGAATGTCGAAAATTTCCAAGAAGCCAACGCATAACTCGGGAACCAATAGAGCTACAGCGCCGCGGAAAAGCGCATTCGATAGCCCTATTAACGCCCTTTCTGAATAATTCTCTCAGATTTGACCTAACGTCAACGGTTTTGCCTGCAGGGGGCAAAAACTGCAAAAATAGCCGATTTTTTCGGAAACAGTTTTTCTGCAATAACTTTTGACCCAAGCATTGTACGAGCTTACTTTTACCGGCATCGTGTTCCTCTCGTCAAGACGCATCGAACGAACTATAATTTGACCTTGAAAGGTCAACTTGAAAATTTGACCTCAGGTCAAGGTCATGACCTGACCGGAAAGGGTCATGTTGCATATCAGTCGATCCGTATCGTCGAGCTGAACACATCTAAGGCGTTTTCGTCGCTCTAGCATGCCTCTATCAAAAGTTATTTGCGAAAAACTGTTAGATACCATTCGTGACCTAAGATGACCTCAGGGCATAAACAGGGGTCACAGACACCATTTTCATGTTCAGTGTGTCTAAACCACTTGTAATTCAGTGTTTGGGAGTGTTTATAATGTCTTTCGTCCAAAACAGGCGCATTTCAATTTTCTCCCATTGACTTATAATGGTGAGGTCGCAAAATTGACCTGACCTTAGGTCATCGATATCAAAATTCTGAGATATACATTTTGTACATGCTAATGCTCTTAGCAATCGCTGAAAGTTTCAAAGCGATCGGTCACTCGGTGTAGCTATGGCAGACATTGAAACTTTTTATGAGGTGAGGTCACTTCGAGTGACCTGGTGACCTGACCTTGAATGACCTTGGTCTGAAATTTTCACAACATGTGTAGAATTGATGTATGATAAGGTGTACCAAAAACGGCGGCGCTCCGCGCCGCCGTTTTTGAGATATTTGCGAAAAACCACAGGGGGGGGTGTTCAAACACCCCCCCCCAGCAGGGCGCGGGTTAACGTCATTTAAGCGTTAATCACATGGTATTTTTTATTTTGAGGTTTTGGCTTTTCACCAGGGCCTCCTCTCAGGGGCGACACTTTCCGAAAATTATTGGTAGGGCTCTAATGTAAATTTTTGCCAATTCAAAGCGATTCTTTCCACGCATCGCCAT